CCCGGAAGTAACGGAGCACGTTACTTCCGGGTTTCGCACTCGCGCAGACACTCAAAATGAAGTCATGCGCATGCGCAGACGCACAGTCGTGTCTTACGTTTACTTCAGGATGTGAATGGGGCTCCGGAACGGATCCCGGACGTATCCAGAGGTACCACTGTATTACAATTATATCCCACCTTTCCTCAAAGATCCCAAGATAGATCTCTTCCTCCATTTTTTGCGCACAACAGCCCTGTGAGGTAGGTTAGGCTAAGTGGCCCAAGGTCACTGAGCTTCATGGCTGAGTGGAGATTCGAACCCTGGTTTCCTAGGATCTAGTCTGATGCTCTAACCACTACACATCACCCCCAGAGCCCTGGCCACCAGTCTGTTTTCCAACCCCATATCCATTTTGCTCCTATGAAAGGGCTGGGCCCTTTATCAAAAATTCATTCAACCAGCTCTTGCCTCCATTAGCAGCTTAGCAAGTGGCAGCAAGATCAAATGCTCTTTTTTTTCTTTATTAAGCATACCCATCTTTATGCATCAGGCTTTATCAGAATCTGCACTGGAATGGATATTGGCATCTCAGACAATCCTCACCAGGCTGCCTCTGACCGTCCATCAATTACGACCTGCAATCCAAGCCGGCACCTCACTCAATGCAAGGAATAAATGAGTTTGCTTTGCAGAGAAAAGCAAGGCCTCAAGTTCATTACCCGTGTTGACAGCACGGCTTATCCCCTCCACGGATTTGCTTTCATTAGGGATCAAGTGAGATTCATGTCCTAACAATGCCAGCCGGAAAGAAGGGCTCCCACTTCTGAAAACAAACAATGGTTTTCTGAGAGAACTGCAAGATGAGAGCTCCAGGTTTATGTAAGCCCTGAGGAAAGGAGGACTGTAGCTCAACCACAACAGTCAGGGGCTTATCCACACTTACTTTTAGCCCCACTCTTTCCAGGCAGAGGTCAGGGCTTTAATGCTCCAAGTCCAAATGGCTGTTTTTGTTTTGCTTCCCCCCAAGCTTCCCCCATGAAAACCTGTTCTTTAAAGCCCAATTGGAGAAAACATCCATTCGTGTGTTTTTTTTAAATAATATTTATTAAAATTTCACAAGAAAAAAAAGAAAACCACATTAATGAAGAAAAAATTAACAATAAAAAGAAAAAATACAAGGTAAAAAAGGAAAAAACAATTAAAAACAATTTCATCTTTTCCTCACTTCTTTTACATTTACTTGTTTCTCGGACCTTCTCTTACCTCCCTCTTTTGTATTCTAATTAAATATGTTAGTCCAACAGTTCCTTTCCCTCCTTTTTAATCCTAATCTTTAATCTTGATATAATATAGCTTTAAATTTTAGATTTTACATATTAAAACCAATTTTTCCATATTCTTTTAGCCTGTACAGCTAGAAACCCCTTAACTTCAATCCAACATCATTCTAACATTCATTAATTTTGCAGTATTTCTGTAAATAGTCTTTGAATTTCTTCCAATCTTCTTCCACCGACTCTTCTCCCTGGTCACGGATTCTGCCAGTCATTTCTGCCAATTCCATGTAGTCCATCACCTTCATCTGCCATTCCTCCAGTGTGGGTAGATCTTGTGTCTTCCAATACTTTGCAATGAGTATTCTTGCTGCTGTTGTGGCATACATAAAGAAAGTTCTGTCCTTTTTTAACACCGATTGGCCGACTATGCCCAGGAGAAAGGCCTCTGGTTTCTTCAAGAAGGTATATTTAAATACCTTTTTTAGTTCATTATAAATCATTTATAATGGAGAAAACATCCATTCGGGTTTTCTGTGGGTGGATGTTTGTTCTGATATAGCTTTAAAAAGTGGGGTTTTGTGGTGAAAGCTCCGGAGCAAAACAAAAAGAGGGTGCCGACACAGAGCTTTGAATCGCAGGCCGTGCCTGGGAAAAGCAGAGGAAACGTGTGGATAAGCCCACAGCGCACTGCTGAGGCAACAGCTCTCTCTCTCTGGAGAGTCTGTGCCAATGAACTGTCCAGGGTCCTGATCAGTGGCTTCTCTACTTGTCTGTGGTCTGTGGACTCCGCTTAGCTGTTCCCTGCTCTTCAAGACACCACAAGGAAGCCAGTCTGGTTTAGCAGTCAGACTAGGGCAGGGGTCAGCAACCTTTTTCAGCCATGGGCCTGTCCACTGTCCCTCAAACCATGTGGTGGGCCGGACTATATTTTTTTGGGGGGAGGGGCGATGAACGAATTCCTATGCCCCACAAATAACCCAGAGATGCATTTTAAATAAAAGGACACATCCTACTTATGTAAAAACACGCTGATTCCCGGACCGTCCGTGGGCTCGATTGAGAAGGCGATTGGGCCGCATCCAGCCCACGGGCCTTAGGTTGCCTACCCCTGGACTAGGGCCTGGGAGACCATTGGTCATTGATGTGACCTTCAGCCAGTCACAGTCTCCCAGTCTGACGTACCTCGCAGGGTTGTTGTGAGGATAAAACGGGGAGGTGCAGGAGAACCACGTATGCTGCCTTGAGCTCCTTCGGAGGTTTCTAAGCAGAGTTTGGATGGCCACTGGTCAAGGAGTCTATAGCTGTGATTCGTGCATTACAGGGGGTTGGACTAGATGACCCTTGGCATCCCTTCCAACTCTACAATTCTATGACAGTGTGCCACAGTCTCAACAGATGGCCAGGCGTACCAGTGCCTCAATCAGGCCTGCCTTCAACTGTCACACCTTTACACATGCCCTAATCTACCTCTCTAGGAAACAAGAACGAACCTCCCCCTTTCTTTGAGTAACAATTAGGCTGTATTTTGTCCTTTGCAAAAACCTTCAACAGTTACAGGAAGTTCTGCCCTGTTCTGCTTGCAGTGGGTAATTTGCACCTCCTTCAACACCTCTAAGCTCAGTGACAGGCTGTCTCTAGCAAAGTACAAGACAATGGGTTTTGGGGGTGGGGGGAGAAGGATTTCCAAGGGATTTCATTATCACCTGGGAACCTTCTCCTGCTTTAGCTAACTGAAAGAATCACCATTCACAAATTATGATTGAAAAGCCACACTCTGGTGAGCATGGGAGCAGAGAAGACATCCCCCTCCCCTAGTTGCTAGTCTTGGAGGTGCCATGCAGCTGGACTTAGGTGCAGGCTCATCAAACCAATTAACCTGCCCAACTGCTACAAGCGGTCCTATCTCCAGGCAACTGAGCGGCTTCTGTTGCTCTTAGACCAGCGAAGAGGGATGCCTTTGGAGTGAAAAGCAGGGAACCCAAATGGTGGAACCAGATAGGTGTTTTGCCCCCATTCTCACTTCAGAAGACCGCGCACCGCTGGAAAGGCACAAGTTTTTTACAGCCTCCTCATGGAGATGGAGGCTCCTGAGGGCTACAAGCCACCATGGCTGTGCTCTGCCTCCATAGTTGAAGGCAGTGATGCTTTACAATGCCAGTTTCTGAAACCACAGGAGAAGGAGAAGAAGAGTTTGGATTTATCACTACCCGAAGGAGTCTGAAAGCGGCTAACATTCTCCTTTCCCTTCCTCCCCCACAACAAACACTCTGTGAGGTGAGTGGGGCTGAGAGACTTCAAAGAGAGGTGTGACTAGCCCAAGGTCATCCAGCAGCCGCATGTGCAGGAGCGGAGATGCGAACCCGGTTCCCCAGATTACGAGACCACCGCTCTTAACCACTACACCACATTGGAAAAATGCACTTGTGCTCGAATCCTGTTTGTGGCTTTCCCACTGAGGCATCCGGGAACAGGATGCTGAACTAGATGGGCCACTGGCCTGATCCAGCAGGCTCTTCTTGGGTACTTATCCTTGTCCTGGGGGAGCAATTCACCCCAACCTCACTACTTCTTCTGTTCTCAACAAGTAACTCTTCATGCCTGCAGATACCATCTCCTCTTACTGCAAACTAGCGTTTCTAATTGCTCTCAAACGAAAAACATTTTTATTTTATTTTGGGGAAGAAGTGGGGGTCAGGGAGAAGAGGCAGATGGGCTTTTGAGACTGAACAGAGTTGTTGGACTCCTACATGACATGCTTCTGCCGAGCATCAACCCATTTCCACTCGCACAGAACCTTGCGCAGCCCTCTTTCCCTCATCTCGCTGCTCCCTCTCAGGGAGCTTGTCTCTGATAACAAGCATGTGGCAGCAGCACCTTTCAATCAGGGCACCCAACCTCGAAATGAATCGTGCTGATGCTCTTGGAGGCGGTGAGGTTGCTTGCAGAATATAAATGACCTTGGGAGGAGGGGAGGGGAGAGAAGACCCCTCACTTCCTGAAATAAACCAACAGCTGCTGAGAGGCTTCAGGTGGGGGAGAATGCAGGTGCCTGCCTTGCCCTTGGTTCATCTAGCTCCGTATTGCCTTCATTGAATGGCCGCAGCTCTCTAGCATATCAGACAGAGCACATTCTCAGTTCTACTTGGAGATGCTGTGGATTGAACCTGAGACCTTCTGCATGATCTACCACTGAGCTACATCCCCTTCTTCAAAAATGAAGCTTCCAGCCTTCATGATTTTGAGTTAAAAGCTGATTTGAATAGGAATATAAGCTGCCTTGGGATGCAGGTGGCGCTGTGGGTTAAACCACAGAGCCTAGGACTTGCCAATCAGAAGGTCGGCGGTTCGAATCCCTGTGACGGGGTGAGCTCCCCGGGGTGAGCAACGGGGTTGCTCGGTCCCTGCTCCTGCCAACCTAGCAGTTCGAAAGCACGTCCAAGTGCAAGTAGATAAATAGGTACCACTTTGGCGGGAAGGTAAGCGGCATTTCCGTGCGCTGCTCTGGTTCGCCAGAAGCAGCTTAGTCAAGCTGGCCACATGACCCGGAAGCTGTACGCCGGCTCCCTCGGCCAATAAAGCGAGATGAGTGCTGCAACCCCAGAGTCGGTCACGACTGGACCTAATGGTCAGGGGTCCCTTTACCTTATAAGCTGCCTTATAACAGAGTCTATCTATCTCAGTATTGTCAACAATGACAGGCAGTAGTTTTCCAGGGTTCTAGGCCACTCTTCTTCCTGACTATACCTGGAGATGCTGTTGAGGATTGAATTCAGGGTTTTCTGCATACAAAGCAGGTGCTCTAGCACTGAGCTGCAGTGGCTCTTATCCTGATTGGAAGAGGCACTCAGCGGCAGGTTACACCAACACTTCAGTATCTCTGCTGCCTTCTGGTCTTGCCTACACAATTGATCAAACAAACAGAGCCTTAAGCAACCTGAGTCTAAATAGCTGAGAGCGGCCTCTGGCATTATTTCCAGAGGGGCGGTTGTTTCAGCCATCTGAGTCCCCTACTGTCTACAGCAAAACATCAACAACAGAGGGTCTTGAGGCAACCTCAAAGCTAGCAAATTTATTGTGGGCATAAAGATTTTGCAAATGATGGCTCACTTCATCAGAGGCAAGGAAAGTATATATTCACATGAATTGTTGCTTTTTGCTTTTTTTGCTGGGGTGGGAGCAGGATTGTGAACACTGAGTTCAGAAGGAAATGAAATGCAAAGAAGGAAGGTTGGTGATAATAATGACACAATTAACAGCAGTAATTCACAAAAGCCCTGCTCCTGGTGCACAGGTGAGCCAATTAACACATATGATGTCAGGGCTGGCCCAATATGTTCCTCTGCCTGGAGCAAAAACAAGATGGTGTCCCACTCCACCCCATTCTGAATACATAAGCCAGCTGAATCTTACTGCAACACTGTCAGTGGGACAGCAGTAGAGGCTGTTGGGCACACACACTTGTCCTCCAACAGAGGGGAACAGGAGGCGCTCCTCAGGAGGAATGGCCATAGGGCTGCTGCCAAAGGCCCCCATCAACCGCTACCTGAAGCAGTTGCCTTTTTCTGGCTAATGGTAGGGCCGGCTATCAATAATGTGCTAAATATATATATTGTTGGAACTCATGGGAGTTGTTGTCCTAACCTTCTAAAGGGCACCAGGTTGGGGAAGGCTGATTACATACCATCCAAAACATCCTGGGAACTGGAGGCTGAGTTATAAATATTGTCCTCCAGTCTCACAGAACTATAGTTCCCAAGGAACCCTGGGAAGAGGAAGTGTGTGCTAAATCTCTTCAATTTTGCCATGCACAAATTCTCTCACATTCTCTGCTCCACTGAATTGATATAGATACTTTCCTTATTTGCAGCCATGTGAATGCGCAGCAAAACAAGTATTGGTACAGAAGTCTAGCATCTTGATCAGGGGAAGCAACAGTCCCACTCTATTCTGCCTTGGTCAGACCCTACCTGGAGTCCTGTGTCCAGTTCTGGGCACCACAGTTTAAGAAGGATATTGACAAGCAGGAACTGTCTGCAGAGGAGGGCGACCAGGATGATCAATGGTCTAGAAACCAAGCCTTATGAGGAACAGTTGAGGGAGTTGGGGATGCTTAGCCTGGAGAAGAGAAATCTAATAAGTGACATGAGAGCCATCTTCAAATAGCTGAAGGGCTGTCAAGTGTAAGATGGAGCAAGCCTGTTTTCTGCTGCTTCTGATTGGAGGACCCAAAACAATGAGATTCTGGCTAAACATCAGGAAGAACTTTCTGATGGTGAGAGCTGTTCAACAGTGGAGTGGACCACCTTGGAAGATGGTGGACTCTCCTTCACTGGAGGTTTTTAAACAGAGGTTGGAAGGCCAACTATCAGGGATTCTTTAGCTGAGATTCCAGCACTGCAGGGGGCTGGACTAGATGACCCTTATGGTCCCCTCCAACTCTATGATTCTATTAAAAGAACTGTACAGGGTAGAAAGAGCTAATGGGAAAATACCAGCGAAGTGGGAGGCAAGGAGAGGGAAGGTAGTGCATTACTGGAATGGACAAATGAAGGCGGCCCCAAACAATTGTGAAAGAGTCATTCTTTGAGCCAGGAAATGTCTCCAGGAGCTGTTGAGTGCCAATGAAGTCAAGAACATGGTGACATTTTGGATTCAAAGCCAGAACAAACAGGAGACAAAAATCAACCTTTGCCAATTTATTTCAAAGAAATCCAGTGTTGGCTCGTCCCTCTTTTCGATTATACGCCGTCCAAGGATCAAGCAAGCTCAGCATGCACAAACAGATTGGGATCTTTTTGGTGCAACATGAAAACAAATCAAAAAGTGTTGTTACACAGGGCCCTGGCTGTGTGGTGGGTTGGGGGTGTCTTCTACAACGTGTCGTCGACACAATAATAGCGCATCAGTCCTGGGTTTATAACTGGATTGTCAACACTTCATTCTATTTTATCAGTTGTCCTGCAATGCTTCCCCGATGTCACCGAAACATTGCCATCTGGAGAGGCACTTTTGCATCACAGAGCTACAAAAACAGGACATAAAAGCCCACAACTCCAGAACATTAGCAGTATTGTCTATGCTGTCTGGCAGTAGTTCTCCAGGGTCTCGGACTCCAGCCTTACCTGGAGATGTTTTTGCAGACCAAACCTGGGATGTTCAGCTTGCAAGACAGATGCTCTACCACTGGCCCTATCCCCAAACCAGCTTTTAAAAAACAGAAAGCACTTTTAGAAGATCAGTTTTATGTGCAAGCAGCAGATAGCTGCCCTGCTAATAGATTGATTTTTCTTGATTGATAGGTCAGGAATTCAGATTCCATTCCTTCCCAAAGGATCTGGCCAGGACCCTTCTCCTTATCCCCCGCCCCCGGAAAAAAACCCCCAAGCATTCACAAAGGAGAGAAGATGAGGAGAAGCAGCAGCAGCAGCAGCAGCAGCGAGGCAACAGGCTAAATTTACACCGTCTGCTGGAGGGGAAATGATGATTTAAGAGGTTTAAAAATACCTTTACAAAAAACCCAACTGTCTGAACAGGGAGAAAGCAAATGAATCACAGTATTGGGAAAGGTGGCGGTTTAAGAAAGTAAGAAAGAAAGCAAAATCTGGGGGAGCGAGAATGCAAGAGAGACCCTTGGAGAGATGCTCCGCCAGGAGAGCGTTGAAGGTCAGTGCAGAGGCTGCGGCTAGATGATACCTGTTGTAGCAGAAAACAGCCCAGCCAGGAGGCCAAATCTGGTACTCCCTTCTAGCAGCAGACTTTTGGTTGTTATGAAGGATGTTTGAGGGTGAGCTGGACGGCTCTGAACACGGGCATCCATAGGAATTGGGGGGGGGGGAGGCAACAATCCCAGCGCAGCCCAGATGAATCGCCAGATCCCCAGCTTTCATTTTTTTTAAAAGAGCACGTCTCTAGCGTTTGCAGAACCTGAGATATAAGGCAAGATGGACAGGCATACATTTTCTCATTTGGGAGGTAGGGAAATTAGCCTGTTCCTCTATTGACAGTTTTATCCTTTTCTTGTTTGTTTGTTTGTTTGTTTGTTTGTTTGTTTGTTTGTTTGTTTCCTTTATTTATATCCCACCTTTCCTCGAAGGAGCTCAAGATGGTGGGGCATGGTTCTCCCCCAATCTCATTTAATCCCCACAACAACCCTGTGAGGTAGGTTAGGCAAGGAGTAAATGGCTGGCCCAAGGTAACTCACTGAGCTTCATGACAGAGCAGAGATTTGAACCCTGGTCTCCAGGTCTAAGTCCAACCCTCTAACCCAGCCTTTCTCAACCTGTGGGTCCCCACATGTTGTTGAACTACAACTCCCATCACCCCTAGCTAGCAAGGCCAGAGCTCAGGGGTGATGGGAGTTGTAGTCCAACAACATCTGGGGACCCACAGGTTGAGAACTGCTGTGAGTCTAACCTTTGCTTTGTTCCTCACTGGAAGAATCCCTGCGGCCGCCCATGACTCTGACCCATGGGGCAGTTATTCTGCGCTAGCCCCACTTGCCCCCCAGGTTTGACCCCTGGCATGTCCACGCAAGCCTTCCAATGCCCCCTGCCCTAGAGTAAGGTTACCAGATGTCCCCGTTTCCCAGGGACAGTCCCCGGATTTACAAATCAGTCCCCATACAAAATCCATTGAAGTTGAGAAGTGTCCCTGGATTCATTGAAAAAAATCTGGTAACCTTACTCTAGAGAGCCGCTGCCAGTCAGTGTTGCCTTCACTGTGCAAGATGGACCAAGAGTCTGAGGTGGTACAAGGTAGCTTCCTTTGTAAACCAGCCCTTCATTCAGAACCATGAGGACTAGAACCTTATCAAGGCTTGCTGCCTGCAACACTGGAGAGCTGCACTACCAAAGCAGTGCAGACAGTGACACCCTAGATGGAATAATGGACTGAACTCTGCCTAATGCAGCTTGTCATGGGATCACAGAATCATAGAGTTGGAAGGGATCCCCAAGGGTCATCTAGTCCAACCCCGCTGGAATGCATGGTTCCCCCATCTAATTTGAAACTATAGCTCTTCTCCTGTGGCTGTTTGGCAGCCTCAAAGCCCCTCCCTTTCCTACACAACCACTTCTTTGGTAGGTGAGGAAAGAGAAGGACCCGGTGTTGGCGGCAGGTGCTGATTAGCTGCTCTGTTCTGCAATGGAGAGAATTTATCCTGGCACACTGCCTATTCCTTAGCACTCCCGGTGTGTTGCTGCTTTCGCTCGTCTCCTCACACATCTGCCAATACAGATCCCCATGCAGACAGCTCTGACTTGCAAACGCTTCTTGCAGGAGCCAGCCTGGGAAGAGCGGAACCGTCAAGTTGAACCCAACCCATCACCTGGCGGTTTATTCGTTCCTCGGAAGAGACACAGATCGCAATTCTACACAGTCCGGCAGTGTGTGTGTGTGTGTGTGTGTGTGTGTCTGTCTGTCTGCCTGTCTGTGTGCAGAGGGCTCCAAAGGGCCCTCATCCGTGTTGTGTGGAAATGGCTGCCTTAAGGTGCAGCTCCATCGGAGACACAGAGAACGCAGCTGCTGCATTAGGAACATTTTAGGGAGCGCTGGAAGAGTGAAAGGCAGATAAGATTTCACAGGGCAGAGAGTGCAGGCAAAGGCGGCAGAGAACAAACTGCATGTGGGAGGAGGTAATAACCAGATGGTGGTTAAATGCAGGATAAATGCAACAGTGTCTGGGTTTAAATGCAGGATAAATGCAACAACGTCTGGGTTTCGACAGCAAGGGATACAAGTTCAATTCCCCACCCTGCAGACATGGACAGAACACGCTCTAGGCTTCAACGAAATCACGGTCTTGTGCAAAATATGAGGAAG